CCCCCGTTCTGCTAGTGCAATATTCTGAACTTATTTTGCTTACTGCTGTTGGTCTGATCAGTGAATCATTTTTACACCCCTCCGTGTTTACAAAAAAAGCTATGTAAGGGGTCCTCATGAGACTGCAATGGAATTATTCTCTCCACTGGCTACATAAGGTGCTACCCTAAACCAGTCAGTTCTGTATGGCCTTCTGAGCTCATCATGTGGTTCACCCTAACCAGCACACCAAGACCAGTAAGTAGCCTGCTTATTAGAATTGTCAGAAGCACAGCTTAAAGTTTTTAGGCACGCGTCTTTGGCTAGCAGCCCAACCACTTTCATGCACTGGCAAAGCCATGCAATCACTGAAAGAGATGGGGGAAAAGTATAAAAATCAGGCTGCAAATGGTTTACCAACAATGAAATGACGTGAGCTTACAGTGCTAGAAAATGCTGCTTTCAGTTCTGAGTACTACATGTCAGAAAAGACAGATAAACCTGAGACAGTTTAAAGCTGAATAACAATAAGGAGTAAATGGTTTAGAAAATAAAACCTCAGAGGAGAGGTAAAGATAGCTAGACAGGTTTAATGTGAAGGGAAAAGGGAGAAGAGGTAGCCATGTTAGGTTTGATAGTTGTCTTTGGATGACTCAGAAATCATCAAATCCCTTGCCAACTCACAGAAGGATTGACTCTATGAGCCTTTAAAAACTATTTCCAATGCAATGGTTCTATTGCAACAATCTTGATCCCGTTGTAGAAGGCATGATAAAATCACCCATTAAAGGAGGCTCATAAAGGGTTCATTTAATTGTTCTGTTTCTATAAATTGAATACATTTTTCCCCACTATAATGCCATGCATTTACATCTTTGAGATGACATACTATTGTGCTGTTGGGATGAGCTTCAGCTGAAGCTTCAGCTGTGACCAATAAAACATGAAACGTCATCACATGAAACAATGGCAAACACACATGGAAGGGAAGCATAATTTTTAAACTAAGACATGTAATGCATGAGACAGCTACCGGTGTCATTTTCTAATTAAAAGCACAAAGAGTATTTCAGTAAAAGTGCACTCAGAAATCATTATAATATTTTTTCTTTTTCATTTTCCAGTAACTCTGTGTTTCTCCTCTATACACTAACGGAAGGCAAACAAAGGAGATTTTGCTGTAACCTTAGAAATGACCTGCTTCATAACAAACAGTATGGCTCGTTATCCTGATCTCATCAAATGGGTCAAACTAAGTTCAAACATTTGTTAACACCCCTATTCCTTGTTAATATGTATTTCAGGAATAATGAGATATTCACAATAGCTACAGACAGACAAAACATCTTTATACATACTCTTTACAGATAAATTGACGAGAAAAACAATGAGAAGATCTCAGGGTTCAGACTGTGAATGATAGATATGCAAATGAGACAGGCTGCCTGTAAATCAGAGAGAATATTGGCATCCTTCATTATGCCCATATAATTCCATTATTTTGATAAAACACTGAAACGTCAGTTCAAAATGTACTGCCTACATTCTGAATTTGCACACTGTTACAATAAAATGAAGATGTAAGGCACACTTACAATGCATTAAAAGACATAACTATGCATTACACTCCATGGCATTTACATATACTTCTTGAGGATGCGGACCATCGACACTTTATGTATTGTTTGCCCTCAACTAATCTGCTTATGTATCCTCTTTTACCATTTACGCATATCAGTGAGGAAAACAAGACTCTAGCAAATGTTTGCTTTCTAGGCAACAATCTGAATGGTCATATTCATACATTAAACTCCTTTAAAAACAAATGCCATGTCACTTTATAAGCCAGCAGTGACTGTCTAAGCAGCATATTTATTTTCTTTGTATGGCTTATGTTTACGCGACTTAATGCTTCTGTTGTTGTCAATGAAGATGCCTCACCAGTAAGCTGATGGGTACACTTCACAGATATTCCAGATTCATACAGTGCAATGTTTTCACAACACAGAGCACTATGGAATCACTGTATGAATCCAAGAATTCCTACCTCTCTTGTGGTTTGCAACTTGAACAGAAGAAACAGTTGACATAGCTAATTTGGGAGCAACTGGATAGGTAATAAAATGAACAGTAAATTAGAAAAGGTATCATATAGGAACAAATAAAAAGATTAAAATAAACTTCTTTATTTTCTAACATTTAAATTAACTTTAACAATGGTTATTGTTTTGTAAGGAAAGGGTGAAAATTAGGGAAAATGAGTTATATACTATCAACTACTGAATCATTTGAACTGCAATATCCAAGATAAAGAATGGGAATGTAATTGACATCTACACCCTTTGGCAGTTTTGTGTTAGAGGTTAATTGTTGATATTTTTCCCAATCCACGACCAATGACTATATGGTAACAAGAGTGGTCTGCAAAGGGTTTTATTAAACTTGTATGCATATATATATTCTGCCCTAATAGCATAAACAAACACAATAAAATAATATTAGGTATAGGCAGATTTCTGTAATTATTCTCTTCATACACTATCCTTGACTTGAAGTATTTAATCTACAATAAAAGTTAAACACTGTAACAATATGCTGCAAACACAAAAACTGAATAGAAATGCTTGTAAGTTTTTATGTTTTGTGCTCCCTAACAAAACGTCAAAACTAAATTTACTAAAACTCTTATTTTTGGGGAAGAAACACTGAATAATTTTGTGCTGTTCAAGACGTATTTTGCAATGAATTTAAAGCCTTAGACCACAAGCAGTATAATTAAGCTACAAAATCCGTTAGAAATGGTAAGTATCATTTCATTGGGAATGTTTTGATTTAAAATTCTTGTGAATGATGTAGGCTAATCCTTACAGAGAGCAGAGAAGCAGAGGTCAATCTGGGTTTTTTTTTTGTTTGCTTAAGGAACACATGCAAAATCTTAGAAAATATAACATGGGCTAAATGAAGTTATCGGAATGCAAAGTACCACTTCATCACGGATGTTTAATTTAAAATATATGTGAGAAATGCGAACTGAAGTAGAGTGCTAGCCCTTACAGAGAGCACAGATCAATTAGTGTTTTCTATTTTGTTGGGTACACAGAAATTTGCACATAGAATGTGGTAGATTTTATGTCTGTGCATATGTTTTGATTTGGTTATTGTGATCAGTGAATTTAACTACAGATTTCCCCAATAGATTCTCAATACCTCTTGTTCTGTTTAGTAGCTATTTTCTACATCAACTTTTCATTAACTTTATTCTCCATCTGTATGTGTTACAGCACAGAAAGGATGAACAGTCAAAGCAAGCCACAGGCCAGATTTCTGCAGGGATTTTTTTGGGAGCAAAGGGCAGTAAATAAGGAGAACAAAAGGATGTTATTTTTTATAATGAACAATCATTTTGGAATGAGAAGTACAGCTGAATACAACTTCAAATAACAGAATCTTACTTTTATTAGTCATCTTAAAAAGTAATTCTGTCTCTTTCAATACTAATCATTATGCCACAGTCTGTGAGTAATTTTTTGCGTGGCACTCAAACTGTAGAAAGCTATGAGTCTATCCTGCAGAGAACTTGCTTGTATTGTGGATGGCATGCAAGTTGAGAATGCCGCTCAGCTCACTTGGGAAAACAAAGTGGGCACAAGACATTAAAATGGGTTTGATGTAGACAATGACAATCTTTCTCACTCAAAAATCTCAAAACTTACTCAAAATATAGACTGTGCTGTCTAAACAAGTCCAACATTATCTAGGGCTTTCTATATATCAGTACTTAGAATCTGTGTGTCTTTTCCAGACTTTTTGCATTAATGTGCACAATCTGAGTGTTGGAAGACTTCCTTTTCAGGTGAGGATTGTTTTACGGTTAATTTCTCACAGAACAGCACTACTTAGCACAGAAGAAAAATGAGTTGGATTATCATTGTTACTACTTTTGCCATCGTGTGGAACTCCTTGGAAGCAATTTCAGTAACTTTAGACCACTAGGAATTTTACAGCATCCTACCTTGGTTTGGTTTAGAAACCTCAAGGGAAGAAATATTCGGCCATATCCTATCAAACTTTGGAGGAGCTGCATGCATCAGGAAAAATCAGGTTTTGTTATTTACATCTGTGATATTGTTTTGAACAGGCAAGCATATGGACAAAGACATAGATTACAAACATCCATTACTGGACTAGTCTAGGTTGCACTTGAACAGTACATGACTCCACAGTGAACAAGAAAACAAGCAATTGATGATTCCCAAAACACCAAATGGACATAAAATACTGTGCATAACAATTTATCTTCTGTGGTTTAAAATATAAGTTTTTGTGATGAGAAGATATCCTAGACCAATATATATGGTTCTAACACCAGGAACAAAACAGGAACATATTCTGTTAAATCTGCTCTGAAGAGATAAAATGACAATATCAGACAAATATGGATTTCTTACCAAAGACACATATCTTACCGTAACATCCTGTTTTAGAACCTTTTGAGTGAATTATATTTCTGTTATCAGAAGAAATATATTTACTAGTAGAGTGGACCTTGTCTTTTGCTCTCATACTTTTGTGTGTTGTATCTATTTCCTATCACCTCTGCTGATATATTTTACAGCTCAATTTTTTTGGTAAAAACACTAAACGTCTACATTTCTTAAAAGCCCTACATCATGTGTTACTTACATGAAGCATTTTGTCTCTCAGCAAAAGAATTAGCTATGTCTCTTTAGAGCTTCATTTCCTTCGGTCAATGTGTTTTGGGGCTGGGGCAGTGGCGGGTGATAACCCTTAGAATGGTGCTGAGTGCTGGAGCTCAGAGTAAGTGAAGGGAATGGGGTTATGGGAGGAAGAAAAAAACCTTTTTTGGGGGGCCTGATCTGGGAAATGGTATTTATATTCTCCTTATTTTTCTGTTATAATCTTTTCTCCTTTTCTACCTGCCTAGCTTTGAACATCAGATTTGGACCACATTTTTATCATCTTCTGTGAGTACTGCAGTGGTTATGTCCTTTCTGAGCTGAACAAAATTTTCCTTAATGGTCACATCAGCCTACATAACGGTGATATTAGTGGGGAGAGAGTTATTACTTCATTTCTACCTACAAGGAATTCGGTTGGGTAGTGAGTAGATTGCAGTTGTCACAACTTGGTTGGCATCAGGGGTCTAGGCTTACAGGTCTTTTTGAAAAAGGTGTGTTTCACTGTTATGTCCATCTTAGTGGAAGACCTGCAGGGAAGCTATGACTAAAAGACTGGGGCTTCAAACATCTGATGTGGAAGAAGGACATCCCATAGTATCTTCTGAGCCATTTGTCAAGAGTGAAGAGAAACTGCATGGGTGGGCTGTCTTTCCCAAAAGTCCTCCCACATAGAGAACAATTCAAGGAAAGGATGATGACCTGCACTGTGACATTTACTGTTAGGTAGTCTTCTGCAGTTGAATCAGTCAAGTTGTGATAGAATCACATCGTTACAACATATTCTTGCATTTTGTGCTTTTTTCTCACCACTCAAGAAAATGGAAGAAACAAAAACTGAGTCAGTTTGGTAGGTTCTCAGTCTATGTATTGATTAAAAATAACCTGCCTCTACTGGTCAGATCCACCAATTCACACACATAGGAAGTGCAAACACAATAGTTACAGTGTAAGACAAAAGGTATCCAAAACCCATACTTACTGAGGTGGCATGATAACCCTAGCCCACTGAAAGACTCTAACTTTGTGCACCTGAGAGACTGCTTTCCTCCTCCTCCTCCTGAAACACTGACTGACTGGTTATAGTAAAGAAGGTTCAAGCACACACACACAAATTACTTGCATATTTAATTCACTGTTAAAATTTTGGTAGATTTAGGAACACTTAGGCTTGACCTAAAGATTTTAAAGGGACTGGACATTAGAGAGTAACTGTAAAAATCAGTAGCTAAAAAGGAAAAGCGATCTTTATTGACTACATTGTCCTGCTATCCCCTGAGCCGCCTTCTCTCTCAGCCACTGTGCAACATCAGAGTTGTTGCAGAAAACCTGTAACGTTACAGACTGGAGCTTCCAACATCCTATTTCAGTTGTTGAATACCATGTGGCACACCTACTACAAAAATTCACATGCATAATGGTCTTCAATTGAAACGGCCTTGTTATTACCAGAAGTAAAAGTAATAGCGTCAAAGCTTTGTAATGCCTTAGGCCTAACCCCCTGGAATATCTGTCATTTAATAAACGGTAGGTCCTATATACAAAATCAAAGATTTTATATAATCTGAATCATATAAACAGTAATATTCCATATATAATCTTATTCTGATGATGATTTCCCCAAGAAATCTCATCTTGTCCAAATAAAACCATTACTGGTATGACAGAAAAAACAGTGTTGCATATTTCTTAGTAATCCTACAAATGCTATAGATCTGTGCTCATTTTAGCAAACTTACTTAAAGTGGAGGTTGTAATTAAATAGTTAAAAATTCCCTGACCCTTTAAATTAGATTACATTGAGCTGTTTCTCAACTGGCACCCAAAACAATAAAGATCATATTTACAGTGCCTGAAGATTACTAATTAAGTATTATTACTAGTGATTATTACTAGTTATTAGTGATAATTATAACCATCTTAGAAGTGACTTCTGGAGGTCATTTGTTTCCATGCTTTGCTCATAGCAGGGTCAGCTTCAAAGTTAGATAAGGTTGTTCAGGGTCATATCCAGCTGAGACCAGCTGCTGTCTTCAGTGTGTCTGGGCTGCTTGGTAACATGATTAATGCTCCCGGGGACTTAATGCTTCTATTATGTGCTTTTTTTTTGTTGTTAATCTTTGGTAAAGAGAATATTTTTTTCTTATATCCTCCTTCATGGAATGTATTCTCACCAAGATTACAGGTTTTTTCATAAAGGCCTTTCTGCTTATCTTTGCATTTTTTTATTTTTTATTTTTTTTTAAATGGAGATGACTTTAAATGTTTGATCTAACAAGGTATGTGAGACGACCAAGTCAAAGAATGTTGACTGTCATTCCCACAAGTATATTGGAGCAGATGAGTCATGCTTTGAACAGACACTGGGAAGATTCATTTAGCAGCTAGTTATTCTGTTATAGCAACTTGTGAAAATATTTCCAGTCCTCAGTGATTACCACTAAGGGTTTTATTTATAGAGAAGTTGACTAGGTAAACCAAGCTTTTCCAGAACAGTTCCATGTTTGGACACTGTATTATCAAATTAAAGTCATTTGCTGCCAGAACAATTAATGAATTTTGGTGTAGGTGGTCTAGAAGATATGCTGTGTAAAACTACTGTAATATATTCTATGACAGTTACTCTGGGCAAACAAGGCTACAGAAATGTGAAAAAAATGTTTCTAAAAGTATGGTTTAGTGTTATTATTTAAAAGTGAAGCTACTGTAGGCACCTTTAAGAGTAGAGATATGTGAGCTATATGACTGAGCAGAAAATCAGATATGACACTTTAAAAAATGTGCATTGGAAATTTCTGCATTTTTAGTTACTATTGTTTGAAAGCCAATATGACTATTGGGAAAAAAAAATCTTACTTTCATGAAGAAGGACAAACGGACTGCATTATATTTATTAGGTGTATGATAATTTCCTCCCTTTTTTTTTTTTCTGAATCCTTTTTTTGGATATACAGTATGGGAATTATTTATGATATTAAACAAAGAAAATCTGTCTCAAATATTCACTGCAACTGCAGTCTGCACCATGGGCTACATCATGGTTTCAGACTGGGGAAATAATGGACAGCCTGATTCCAACCAGACAGCTGCACATGAGAAAAACCTGTCATGATGTTGGCAGAAATGAATCAGCACTTTGCTGGTTTCTCACTCCAACCAAGTACCGAGCTGGCAGTAAAATTAAAATGTATCCCCACTGAGAGGGGCTACCCTTCCTCAGGGGTGAAGAGCGCAGGTGATGGAGTGTGTGAAGACTACGTTGCTGCCTGGGCATCTGCACTCTGTAGCAGACTGGTGCATTTTCATCTCCTAAACTGTTTCTGCATTTGCTGAAAATTACTAATAATAAATTGGTAAGTCTTAAATAATGCTCACTCTAATGGCAGAGAGGGAGCACTTGTGTTGACAACTATCATTACTTACTTAATCTATAACAACAATAAGGAACACTGGTGAGAGACTCGGATTAAGATGTCTTTTAACTTTTCTTCAACTTCTATTGAAAACACAAAAAAGCATTAAAAAGATTGTCAGTGTAAGTTTAATGATTCTAGTAGAAGTCTATGTTTCTAGTCAGAGAAAACTGGCCTTGCCACTGCCTGTTTTAAACCATGAGTACTTGAGAGTAAATATCTGTTCTGAAATATAGCTGTCCGCTGAGTGCAGTGGAGTTATATGTATGACAGCGGTTTTGCGTATTAATATTAAACAAAAAATTAGGAATAATAAAACCCCTGAAATCAATGTCAGATTTAGTAACTGATGGAATAATTGGGTGTTTTATATCGGGGTGTTTTATATCGGAACATATTCCATCACTTCTTGCAAAGATCAGACTACCATTATTACAGCATTCCTCTCTCTTTAGGTCTGTTTGAAGTCATGATAACCTACCTGACACAAAATCTGCCTTTCAGCACTTTCATAACACTGCAAAATCTAGCTCATCAAAAGAGAAGAAATGCTGAAAAGTTTTTTTAAAAATCATCCCTTTATTTTATGAAGTATATATAAAAAAATACTTGGCCAATGTTAGGCAATCTTTTTTGGAGCAATGTAGGAAGTTTCATACCTGTTCCTTTGAAGAAACGAGAATTCTGCATAAATGTGAAGATGTGGTTGTTTTATGGCAGCTCCTCAGCCATAACAGCTTTTATAACTGTTGGAAGAATTTAAATTCAATTAGTACTTTCCGTGTCCACTTGTTATCTTAGAGTAAAAGAAAGTGACCCTTTTAGAGGCTTTAAAAAAAATAATCCAATGATCCAGTTCTGGAAACTCTTAGATATCAGAAAAAAATCCACTGATTTTAACAAATGTTTTTGCTAATTCTCAGAATAATGAGGTCTGAGGGAGCATTCTTCAATTGTAAATATTTCCA